AGAGCCTCCCATGCCATACGATCTCGTAAACTTGACAAGGTAATACCAATAAGACATTTAAGACATATTTTGTGACTTCTGTTTTTCAACAACTGAATTGTAATTGTACAGATGTTTGGAGCATGTCAGTATCTTGCTGCTAGATGCCATGTAAGTGATCACCAAATTAGACTAGCGTTTTGGGTATTCAAATACTTTTATAACTTATTGCCTTTGCTTTTGTCAGTATGCTGCAAAAGAGTTTCAGCAGGCTTTAGATATTTTGGACGTTGAGGAGCCAGTCAGCAAGAAACTGCTTGAAAAGGGAGGGAAGGAGGAAACTGTGACACCAGACTGGGGCATGACTCCTGCTGCTGTAAGTACATATATTTAAATCTAGTGTTCTGTTTTTTTATTGCTCTGGTACAGCTATAGTATTGATGATCCTGACCCTATAGAAATCATATAAAAATGTATTGCTTTTTTGTTTCTTCTACGCTTTAATTACAGTGGTTCTTAAATTCTTAAATATGGTAAATCATCACAGTTAATCAAAGAGAAAATATACATCAGCATCTGAAAAATCTATAGAGAGCAAATACATTTGAAATTAAACCGCAGTCTCTCCTAACAAGTCTATAACTTATTAAAATGTTTTGATTGTGATTATGAAAAGAATATATAAGATGTAATGTACACACCTTGTTGGTTAATAGGTAGTAAGTAGTAGTACTTACAGAAAAAAAAAAAAAAATGCACAAGCATGTTTTTATAAACACTATCTAATTTTCACCTGTAATTTTGGTCAGATTAATAGCTCCATTTGCCTCCTGCGGGGTAAAATATATGACGCCATGGACAACCGTCCACTGGCCACCTCCAGTTACAAAGAGGCCTTGAAACTGGATGTATACTGCTTTGAAGCCTTTGACCTTCTCACTGCGCACCACATGCTGACTGCACAGGAAGGTAACCTAATCTGAGAAAGATGCAGTGGTATTTAACTTTTAACAAGACAGATCTTGGTGTGTAATAATTCTAAGGGCTCTTCCTGTAGAAAAAGATTTCCTGGATTCGCTCCCTTTGAATGAGCAGTGTACCGAGGAAGAGGAGGAGCTGTTACATTTTCTTTTTGAACATAAATTAAAAAAGGTACACATTATATTAGTTGCTGTTACTGCGGTACAGTTGAAATTCTTAATGCCATTTTGTTGTCTTTCTTTGCAGTATAATAAACCCAGTGAGTTGGTTGTTCCAGAAATGGTCACTGGTCTTCAGGACAATTTAGATGTTGTTGTGTCTCTTGCTGAGAGACATTATTACAACTGTGATTTTAAGACATGCTTCAAGCTCACATCAATGTAAGCCGTTTGAAGTTGTATTGAATAATTATCATTAAAGAAGAGATACCATTTTTGTGGTATTTATCATGGAAGAAGTAAATTTGACATAATATTTCCTATTTTGATGAAATATAATATTATCTATATGTTTGCCTATAGTACTTACAAATGTTTCTTTTCTCCATTTCAGGGTAATGGTTAAGGATCCATTTCATGCCAACTGCTTACCTGTTCACATTGGAACCTTAGTTGAGCTTGGAAAATCGAATGGTAGCATCTTTAGTCATCCGATATAAATGTAACAGTTAACCTTGCTAAACTTGTTTTCTTTTTTCAGAGTTGTTTTATCTTTCTCATAAACTTGTGGACCTGTATCCAAATAACCCCGTGAGTTATTAAGCAGTGGGATTTCTGAATGGATTTCAAATATTTACTGCATTAAAATCTTTCATCACTGCAGGTTTCATGGTTTGCGGTTGGCTGCTATTATCTTATGGTTGGCCACAAAAATGAACATGCTCGGCGCTATCTTAGGTATGTGCAGAACTGCCGGTTTAGTTGAGTTTAGATCATTTATGTAAACCATGTACTGTTTTTCTAGCAAAGCTACCACACTTGAACGGACCTATGGTCCTGCCTGGATCGCTTATGGTCATTCATTTGCAGTGGAAAGCGAGCATGATCAAGCCATGGCAGCTTACTTCACTGCTGCCCAACTAATGAAAGGGTTGGCACATGTCTTTTGATAGTGTATAGGTTTTCTGTAAATGCAGGTGGCAAAGCTGTATAATATATGTTTATTATAATACAGGTGTCACCTGCCCATGCTGTATATAGGCTTGGAGTATGGTCTGACAAACAACTCTAAACTTGCTGAGCGCTTCTTTAGTCAGGCTCTCGGTATTGCTCCAGAGGATCCATTCGTCATTCATGAGGTGGCTGTGGTTGCCTTTCAGAATGGAGAGTAAGTCGTGGCAATATACATACATACATACAAGCATACACACATTTTAAATATGTATTTTGTATATTAACTGTGTTGAGTCATGCCTTGTTTCAGCTGGAAAACAGCAGAAAGGTTATTTCTTGATGCAATGGAAAAAATCAAAGCCATTGGCAATGAAGTGAGTGAAATGTGTATATATAATGTTATCTATTTTTTGCTTGTATTTTTTTGTATGAGTGTAATAATTGTGCATTTTTCAGGTAACTGTTGATAAATGGGAACCTTTGCTCAACAATTTGGGTCACGTCTGCCGAAAACTCAAGTAAGTACTGTTTACTAAATTTAAAGAAATGTTGATTTTTAAAAAGGTTTTTGTTGCTAAACTGTTGGAAACTGTCAAAAGAAATGACAGGTGCTCGCTTTGCTTTTGTAGTATGGTATATTTGTATATTGTACCACGTTATATGTATATGCTTTCAAAGGTTTACTGAAAAAATATGCAAAAACAAATTATTAAATTATGCATACCCTGATTATCCACCACTCAAATGACATAAGGATCATAAAAATAGTGTTAAGTGGCTGTTACGCAAGTAAGGAATACATTCTGTGTTTCATGAGTAATGCATATCTAATGAATGACCAGAGACACAATAGATGCTTGTCCACTGGTCCATCTGAACACTTCATTGACAGCTAATAGCTGATACTGATTTATTTTAATCCAGTACAACATTTGGCCTTCTAGTTATACAGTTTGGAAACCGTATTTTTAGGTTTCACACATTTGTGAAGCCAGTGTGACACTTTACACGTATTATACTTTCACCTCTTGAGAATTTACAAACATAAATAAATTCACTGAGAGCAATCTGGGTGTAATGAAGAGCTCTTTACTGATTTCTCACATGTTTAAGGACATGACAACATATAAAAAGGCAGAAAGAACGTCAAAGAACTGTTGAACTCCACATGGTGCATCTGAACCAGTTTTAAATTAGGGAACTATGGACCTCAAAGTAATGGAAATAAAAGTAAACATTACAAAACCAAATACATAATCCATAAATGATTATTACAAAACTAGGTTTAGCTTCTACAGTATTGATTGTTTACTTGTTTGGCACAAATACAATAGACTACAATAGACTTGTATTAACATGGCAATCTGATGCTTGAATGGAAGTGTATTGTCTGGGATCATTTGCAATCACCAGTCCGATATCAGATATCATAAAATGCTATGTATTTTATATTTAAATTAGGTACATTTTATTTTTTGTCTGAAGGAAGTATGACCGTGCTCTGGAGTACCACCGACAGGCGCTTGTTTTAATACCCCAGCATGCTTCCACATATGCAGCCATCGGATATGTACACAGCCTGATGGGGGACTTTGAGAGTGCTATTGACTATTTTCATACGGTATTCCTTTTGATTAAATATACAGAAAGTAGAATTAAGACAACAATTATTAAAATGCTAAATTAAACTTCTATGGTCATATGACAGTTATTGACTTTTATTTTATAGGCACTTGGACTAAAAAGGGATGACACATTTTCTGTAACAATGCTTGCCCATTGTATTGAGATGTACATTGGGGACACAGATGCTTATGTTGGTATGTGATAAAGATTCATTTTCACACCAGTCCTCTTCATCAATAATAATAATAATGTCTCTTATGTGTAGCCACAGACATTGATGACAAAGTAAAAGGCAGCCTAAACACTCCTGCCCTGATGAAGATGCTGTCCACCTCTGAACTCGGAGAGCTTGCAACTACACCAAGGTTGGAAGAGGCAGAAGACACAAGCACCATGTCTTTGGAAACACCAGTGTCCAATCAGGACAAAGTGATGCTGGAGACGCCTCTGCGGCTGTCCCTGACCTTGGAGTGTGACATGTATGAAAGTGACATGATGTTAGACACCTTGTCAGACACCAGCACGTGATGACGTCATCAGAGGTGGACTGTTGTAGCCGCAATTTGTCACAAACACACCTGGGCTCAAGGACTACTTTCAAACCAAAACTCTGGCACCACTCCTGCCAAAGGATTCTTTATTCCCCTCTTGTGCATCAAATGTGATTTTTAGAGTGCAAATGAAATGCCACTGGCAGTGTGGTTTCATCACACTATTAGCTTATTAAGTCAAACTTGCAAAATGCACTTTAGAAAGGGGAATTAACTAATGTGCCTTGGTTAAAGGGTTGATAACTGCTTTCCATCAAACACTGGGTTAGACCTGAAGGCAAAAGTTCAGTTCTTCTGACACTGAACTTACTAGAGCCAACACCTTATAAAATCTCAAAGACTAATAAATACTGCCCATGGCAGAATTCTGTTTTTCTCTGTGGATTTATAAATAAAGAGCCATTTTGAGCCGCCTTGTTGCAAATTGCTATCAAGTTTTCAAATAAATCATGACTTACTAATTGTGTTGATAACAATTTAATGCCAAACCACTTCATAAATGCATTTGTGTATACTCTGATATTTGAACTTATTGCCAGTCATGTGTTTTTAATAACTTTTATTAAAATTAAAATGGTATACTTTTACCATAAATTGCAATTGAGATGTGTTGTGTTCCGTGTAAAATGTCACATTTGGCCACCTAATTCCTGTTATATGTTGGAGGTGGGAGCTGACAGCCTTCTCTAATGTCATCAGGTTAAAGGGGAGGGCTGGCGGCTGTGTGAGATCAAAAACATCTTCATGGTCTTAAGGAAAACTGCTTCTGTGGCCTTTTATTTGCCTTGGCTTTAATTCAAATGGAGATCTATTGGAGCACTTTGATGAGCGATGGGCTGCACTCCGTCTAAGTCGGTTGTGGTATACGGGCAGGACCGCGTGCTGCGAGATCAGGACACTTGTTCCACGTTCGTACCCAGCCTAGTGAGCTCCGCATCCACGCCAGAGAGACCCTCTCCTCGGCTGTTCGCGGAGACAAGCGGTGGTAAACAAACTTTCCTCAGCGGTAAGTCTGAAACTGAATTGGGCTTTTAAAAGCCTTACTATTTGGCTTGTTTAATTTGTGATTTCAGACAAACATATTTTATTACACAGGTAGGACTGAATATATATATTTATATATATGTATGTGGATTCCCCTTTTTTCCTAGTTCCTACGAGAGATGTCCATGGGCGGCCCCTGAGCCAGTCATCCTGTCCAGAGCCGTGGAGCTCAGCCAGCACCAGCAGCGCGGGGCCAAGCAGCCCAGCATTACTCAGTGTGGATCGGCCCCGCAGCCCCAGTCCTCTCACGCCAAGTGACACCGAAGAATATGGGACTGCTTAGATCTCATGTCTGGAAAACTGCGACTCAAGAAATAGAAAATAAAAACTATGTGGTGTAAAAACGAGTCAATACGAATAATGTTGCCTATATCAGTTACTTGAGTTGTCGATACTAAAATTAAACGGGAAAGGGAAATCACTTTCGCGCTGATGCCAACTTGCTTTACAGCTAAACTCTCGCGAGAACGCGTATGTTAACGCAGTGAAGAGGGAGATAGAAAGAAATGAGGTCTGAAAAAGACCAAATGACCGTGGCCAAGGAGAAGAGCACTGTGGAGATCCAATTTAGAGACATCCCGAGTGAGCAGGACAATACCAGTGGAAACGCCAAGCAGAAAGAAGAGAAGAAAGAGGTTTTCACCAAGGTTCGTATTAGACGTGTGTCGCATTGTTTTCGCGGTTCGTATGGACCGTCATGGGGGAGGTAGGAGCTGTTCAGCACCGCGGACAGCGACAGAACCAAACATACACGAAATGTTCAAAACAGAATTCAACAACATATTGTAGGGTTGTAAGATAAGAGAGCATACAAAGACGGCTAGCTACACGGTTACTATGTAGGCCATATGTACAGACTAGGGAAAAACGTCAACAATAACAACCTAAGGGAATCACAATCGTATGATGATCGTAATACGTGGTGGTGGTTTTCAGGTGGTGATTCGCAGGCTTCCTCCGAGCATCTCCAAGGATCAACTTGAAGAACAGCTCAGTCCACTACCCTCATTTGATTATTTTGAATTTTTTCCAGCTGATCAAAGGTAAAAACATCGATCTATATTTATACTATTAAAATGTTTGTTGCCTATATGTGACCTGCCCATATGATATCTGTTTAGCTTGTACCCACATCTGTTTTCTCGGGCATATATTAATTTTAAAAACCCTGAAGATATTCTGCACTTCAGAGACAGATTTGATGGATATGTCTTCATTGATAACAAGGGTACGTAACACGTATTGTAGAAATAGAAAATGTTAGCAATTGAAATTGCATTATTGTATTGTTCTTATTTCAGGCCTTGAGTACCCAGCAGTGGTGGAATTTGCTCCCTTCCAAAAAATTTCGAAGAAGAAACTAAAGAAAAAGGATGCTAAAGCTGGAAGCATTGAAGAAGGTAATCATAAATCAGAAGATCCAGTTGTCTAATGCTTAGGCCTATACTGTATTTGTGATCTGTCTTCTGTCTGCAAATAATTATGAGCTGTATTTGCAAATAGATCCAGAGTATAAGCGATTTTTAGAGAATTACTCCTGTGATGAGGAGAAATCAATGGCCAATCCTGAGACTCTGTTGGGGGAAATTGAAGCCAAAACTAAGGAGCTCATTGGTAAGGCTATAAAACATTAAAATACTGTTTAACATTGTGTTGTAATAATCTTTTTTATGTGTTGTTGTTGCAGCCAAACGGACTACACCCCTCTTAGAGTACATCAAAAATAAGAAAATTGAGAAACAAAGAATAAGAGAGGAAAAGAGAGAGGAAAGACGGAGACGTGAAATGGAGAAAAAACGCCAAAGAGAGGAAGAGAAAAGGAAGAGGCGAGAGGAAGAAAGACGCAAACGCAAAGAGGCAGAAAAGCAAAAGAAACTGTCTGAGAAGGACATCAAAATTAAGGTACAGGGTCTAACAACAATTACAATATATAGGGGTATTTATAAAATATACTACTTGTGTTTCTTGTGTTGGTTTTATATAAGCTTTTAAAGAAGAGCGATAGAGATGATGATGTGGATTCAGATCGAATGAAGGACAAAAGTGATGTGGGAGAGACGGACCGACCAAACAAGTGGGAAAAGAGTGGGAATCAAATGAAGTCAAAGGAATTTAAAGAAAAGTAAGATTTTAAGATTGATTTGTTGTAAATGGAATTGTTATTTGAACTTGTGATCTGTGGTTATAAATGTTAGTTTTTGTTTGTGGAGAAAAATATGAGATGTATAAACCACCAGGCAATTAATATATTTTATCGTTTTTTTTTTAGAACTCATTATTCATCTTTATTGGTGTTATTCTCTGTTATGTCCAGTAGGGGTCAGGCAGAAAGTGACAAAGAGCAGCAGCAGCACAGTCGCAGGCAGAGAGAGAAGGACCACAGGGTGAAAGATGAGGAGAGAAAACGCCAAAGACACCATTATGAGTTTGACAAGTTTATGCGCCGTAAAGAGGAGACCAAATGGGGAAAAGGCTACTGCCAGGACAGAGAGGAGAGGAGGAAGAAAGAGGGGCACCATCACAGCTATAACTACTGTCCTGACAATGGAGAAAAACTGGGCAAAGAGGACCGCGATGAGTTGAGTAACAGAAAGGAGCGCCTTCGAAACAAGGTGAGCGAGAAGGTGAGCATGAGGGGGATTCTATAGATTCTTTAAGAGTTTAAGATATGTTTAAACACGTGGTTCATCAATACAAATTAGATTTACAGGATTGATTGTACAAAACTCTACAATTGTCTTATAGACTGAAAAGACCCTCTAGAAACTGAATTTTGGAATATTAAAGTGGTGTCAAAAGTTACTCATTAGAACAAGCTGTTTTATTTCTTGGTTAAGGACTTTTCAGACTCTGGTATGTGTGGCTTCCTTTCATTAGTGAGCTCCCTCTGGTGGTACTCAAACCCTTCTTTTGCCCAGTTTTACCTTAAGTTAACCTTTATTGTCCACCAGAGTGGAAATTTGTCTTTGATTCACCATCACATGAACAATCATAACAGCTTAAGAGTCAATAAATAGGTTACAATGTCCACTACATTTAAATGTGCTGGATATACACATACTAGTACATTTCACGAGTGCTTATTTAACAAGCCGACAGCCTTTGGCACACATGAATCCTTTTTTATTGAATTTTTATTTTAATTACACCTTTAGGCTTAAACTTAGATAAACTTATTGATCCATAAGGGACATTATTTGGAGACAGTAGCTCACGTATCACAATACATTATAATAACAAAGAGCAAAAATATAAAAGGTAATAATAATTCTAAATAAGTAGCAAAAATAAAAAGAAACTGGTGTCAAATAAATCATAATTATATAGATGTATACATATGAGTAAAAATAAAAATATAGAAATATAGTAATACAAATATATCTCAGCTATAAACAAGAGGTCGTAAGGAAAAACGACCTATATCTCACATTAGGCCTATAGTTAGATCTTGTCTTTAAACCGCGCCAGTTGGCGAATTTTGTACCATAGTCTAAACTAGGGTACATCTGGTTTAGACCAGAGTATAGTCAATGCCTGGTCCTTGTATGGGAAAAGACATATATTTTATGAAGTAATACTTGGTGTGAATAATATGAGCACCACTGGCCTTGTATTTTGGATCTCACTAATTCTAATGACATGGTAATGTTCATATACATTAATTCTCTTTCCTATAGGATCGTCCAGCAATGCAGCTATATCAGCCTGGTGCACGAAATCGAAAACGCATGAGCTCATCGGGTAAAAGCTACGAGTGCATCCCAGTGGGTCACTCACCTGAACCTGCAGCTGACTACGCCTATGAGATGGCCAACATGAGCTTGGACAAAGGTTTTGAAAAGGGCAAAGATGAACAATAAATACAAAAATTAGAAGCAATTTTTGTAAATGTATCTCTGAGTTCTTGCTCATATAATTTAAATTATCATGCATTGTTTGGTTTGACATATTTTTTGGAAATACATTGACTATTACATCAACAACAGTGCTACTTACATACAGAGTTATAGGAGGTTTTCCCATTTAGGCAGCTAGAAATGTTTGTAAAAACAATTTTCAGCCTCAGAGTCTTGAGTTGAGTCTTGACTTGTACCCCCCTCTGTTCAACAAGACAAAATATTTTGTAAATAAGAAATATAAGGTGTATTTTATGTGCTGAATTGAGATGCATTATAATGATTATATAGATGTACACCTAATGTTTTGGTCACAAAGAACACCAATTAACTTTTGTAAAAAAAAAAATTAAAAAAAAACAGGCTAAAGGCCTGTCAAGGCCTGTTTTAAGTTTTTACTAAAAAGCCTCATTTTCTTTGTGCACATACCTTTGTCAGACTAACCTCTTGTATAATGTCTTTCCCTAAAATGTGATGAAATAAAGCACTTCCAGTGTGGGTTTCCCGTTATGGCAAGGCGTTGTCATTTGGCCAACAGTAGACCTACCCATTTTAATGTTTGAGTCAGCTGCATGAAGAAATGCACATTGCACAGTGGCACTTGCCTGGGCGTAGATCAGCTGTAATTATTCAGTGCATGTTACTACTCAGGGCTGTTGGGTACAGGTTCCAATCACACCGCCCTAAAACAAATCAAAGCAGGCAGAAATAGTTCACACTTTCAACCATGTCAACAGGAAGTGTGCAGGCAAGCAAAAATTGCAGGTGCTATTCCCAGGAACTGAAAAGAAACAAAATTCTTGTTCAAATCTTGTTATTTGAGGACTACATGTACATGTGTGATAACCACAAAGCAATATTATTTTATTTGACAAATCTGAACACATTTTTGCAACCCATCTGGTATGGTGCATGTTGTGTGCAGAATAAAACTATGACCGGTAGTATGCTACTAGGATACACCACAACTGATTTGTCCAAACCTTTGCCAGGCTAGCCAGGTTCTTACCATTAAAGGAAGTACTTTTTTCTCCACAATCTTCTAAAATAAGTGTTTTATTAGTTGAACTGATTTTTTTTACACTATACTGATGTGTACTGATTTGTAATTATTAGCTCAATATGAATTTGTTTCTCAGAGTCTCTACCACAAAAAAAGTATTTGTTATCATAATCTCTTGTGTATTTTCTGGTGCACTAAAAACTGTCACATGGCCCATTTCCTCTGTTATTGTGTGTAACTGTACAACCCCATTTCCTCAGCAGCCTCTATCTCCACCTTAATCACCAACTGTCAAACGCACACTCCACCGCTCAAGGAGGTGAGTACAATGTAATAGCAATATTATCTTCAGGACAGGTTTTATTTATTAATTCATATACAGTCTTAAAATAACATATTTTTAAAAAATTAAAAATTTGAAAAGTAGGACAAAGTAGGACAGAGCTAGCTGTTGTCGTTTTTTTTTTTTTTTTTTTTTTTTTTTCGCATCAGCTATAAAAAAAAAAAAATTTAAAAAAAAGCAAGATAAAAGTGTAGTGCTGAAACGTCGTTGATGTCCTTGAAAGTAACATGCTAACATGACCGGAATAAGCTTGAGTCACATGTTATTATTTTGATTTGAGAACCACAAGTTTGGAAGACAGCAAGTAATGTATTATTTTAATTGTTTCACAACAATTTCTAGTTTAATTACGCAATGTCCTGTTCACATGGATTTATTGTTGCATAGTTTATCGTAATAATATGCATTGTGAGTCAAAACCATAAACTGAAATTTTTAAAGTGATGCTATTGAATAATATTTTTCATACCTTCTTATAGAGTCATGAATTCAAGCAGCAGTAGCAACAAGTTGGACAATGCTACTTTGTCCTTCATCAAGAATGTTAACACCAGCATTGCCATCTCAGTCATCTACATGGTGGTTACTGTTATTAACCTGGTGGGTAATGGCCTGTCCATGTGGCTGCTGCTCTTTCGGACCTCTCCCAAAACTCCGTCTATAATCTTCATGATAAACCTGACCCTCACTGACCTGGCTCTAGGTGCAGCTCTGCCGTTTCAGATCACCTACCAGCTGCAGGGGTACAACTGGAGTCTGGGACCCAACATGTGCAGGTACTACAGTTTTAAAAGTGAAAATATCATGTTAAAAGGGAAAATACCATGTTACCATCAGTAGTTGACAGAGTACTTGGATGTGTCATCAAAGGTGCATTATGAGTATTTTTTTTGGTAGTCAACCTCCTTGTCTCCATAAAGATGTAAGTTGCCTGTGAAGTTTACAGTATGGCATTAAACTTATCTCTCTTACATTTATTCGGTTACGGTGTTTGTTATAGCTCCTACACAAACGTGCTTTCTTACACCTCTCTGCAAATCTGACCTGTAGCTTGTTTCCTCGAAGATATAAATGTTTATTGCCATACTGTGTAACATTCCAATCACAGCATTAATATCTCCATAGAAACAAGCAGATGGCAGATCCCCCAATAGAGATGTGACATAGTGCCCACTTAAATTTGCTATAAGAAGGTATTTTAAAATATTGTATAGTATAGAGCAGGGGCCTCTAACTATTTCTTTCGGTGAGATATTGTTACAAAACATGTCAGATGAATGTCAGAGAGCTACTAATTTTAGATTGCAAGAAATTCAGTATAAAGTCACAGGAAGCCCTAGATGTGGTACAGTTACATGCCAATAAACTACACTCAAATATGTTTACAAATTTAAAAACAGATTATTTTGCCATATCACCCATACACTAAGTTACATGAATCTAATGTTGCTATTTCTCTCTCCACAGGTTTCTAACTATGATGTTCTTCACCAACATGTACTGCTCCATTCTTACCATGATGGCCATTGGCATTGACCGCTACCTGGGCATCGTGAAGCCTATGTCCTTTAGAGAGACCAGACGGAAGAAGTCTATGGCTATCATCAGCTGTCTCTTAATGTGGGGTTTAGTCTTGATTGTTTTATACCCACTGATGACCACGGACCTGACCTTTGATATTCCTGAACTTGGAATAACCACATGTTTCGATGTCCTGAAGAAAAACATGCTTCCGTCTCAAGCCGCGTGGGCTGCCTTCCTCTTCGGCATGATTTTTGTACTCTTTATCTTCCCTTTCTGCATTACAACATTTTGCTATGTCAAAGTTATCAAACAGCTGGCAAAAGACTCGAAAACAGCCCAAAAAGATAGAGCAATACGTTTGGCTGTTATTGTTTTGCTGGTCTTCACCTTTTGCTTTGCCCCGAACAACTTTCTCTTACTAGCCCACACGGTTATGAAGCTGTTTTTCAAAAAATCCCTCTACATGGCCTACAAACTGACTTTATGTTTCAGCTGTCTCAATAGTTGCATCGACCCATTCATTTACTATTTTGCCTCTAAGGACTTCAGGCAAAAGCTGAGGCAGATCATGAACTGGCACAGTGTCAGCAGTATGGAGTCAAAGCAGGAGCACAGGGAAATTTTGTATTCAATGCAATGTGGTTCTGAAGGTCAACAAAGTAAGCAGCGGGTATCTTTGATGTAATAATGCAACTGAAAAACGGAGAAAGGAAGGAAGTGAAAGCACAATAAACTTTCTCTATGTTGTACAATATCTTGTTATTTTTATCAGAATGTTCTTCTTTATTTACATTTGTAAATGGTTTTATGTGTCTTTTTATACGACACATGCATGTGCATAGTGAATTAAAAAAGAAAAAAAAAATATTGCACTTATTGTTTTTAATTATTTTAATTATTTAACTTAACTACGTGGTTTTGTCTCCTTTTTTATCTTTATACCCATAAGTACACTGACCAGGTCTGCAATCCATGGTCAAAGAAAAAGTCAAATATTTCTTTTTTTTTTCTTTTTCCCTGCGTGAATGGCGTGAACAAGAAAGATGGTGTCATGTGACGCCATCACGCATGCGTCATGACGTAGGTAGTCGTAGTCTCAGCTGCCATACGAGCAGACTTATGTCAGAGAGGTAAGATTGTTATGTAGCTTTTGAAGTTGTATTACTGCAACTATGCCCATATTTAATAACTTGTTTTCAATCATTTCAGCTGTCACAGTGTTGGCAGTCTGTAACTTGCTACTTGCTACAATGAGAAAACACGTAATAATACTCGTAAAGGGTATATAGCCTAGCAATGGCAATCAGATCTGTCTTACTATTATTATTATGATTTATTACAGCATTGTTGAAAGCTAACATTTGGGGTTATGTCTAACGTGTGCATTATGATTATTAGTTATTGGATTATATTAACCATGTCTAACTAGGTCATAAGGTTCATCACCAGAGCCCATGCTTATCTGACTAATTTGTGACTGTCAGTGTTTTTTATGTCATTGTTCATTTCATGTTATTGCAGGCTCAATCATTCATCACCATGGTACTGAACCCTGTCATTTCAAAGCTTGCGGGTAAATTGGTTGTACTGGCAAGTGCTTCTCCCAGAAGACAAGATATTCTTCGAAATGCAGTATGTATTGTTTTCCAAAACTGGCCTTTCTAATTAATCTCATATTTCACAACAATATAGACACACACAACACACACATACAAACATACAAACCAGACACATATAGACCAGTATAGCAATGCCTCCTTTATTCTATATTTATCAGGGCTTAAGATTTGAAGTGGTGCCATCCTGGTTCAAAGAAACTCTTGACAAGGGACTTTTCAAGGCACCGCATGAATATGCAGTTGAGACTGCCAAGCAGAAGGCACTGGAGGTGGCCAGGAGGATGCCTTTTGTAAGTTTTTGTTATGCTAATGTCATCCATATATGTATTCTAAATATCACCAGTATTTTCTTTTAGAAACACCGGAAAACTCCAGACATGGTCATTGGAGCAGATACTATTGTGGTAAGATAAAATTACGCATCATAAAATCATATCAAGCTATTCTATCTCTGGACAATTGCATAACTTGTATCTTTTTCTTCATAGACTATAGATGGCCTTATACTGGAGAAGCCAACAGATAAGGATGATGCATACAGAATGCTGTCACGGTAATGCTGATATATTAAAAGTGATCATTATAGCTGTAGTGTTATCATTTTGTGCTGTCTTCATTGTAGGTTGAGTGGTAAAGAACATAGTGTTTTTACTGGGGTCGCCATTGTCCTTTGCCATGAAAAAGAAGGCATGTCAAACTTTTGTTTCACTCTAATGCAATATTCCCAGTCATAATTAATAGGCATGTCATGTCAAAACGTGTCATACATTTTTCAGATGATGGGATAGACTACCAATTAATAGATTTCTATGAAGAAACAAAGGTTAAATTTGCTAATCTGTCGGAAGATTTGCTCTGGGAATACATTAACAGCGGTGAACCCATGTGAGTAGGACCTGTGAGAGTAACTGAGGTAATACCTATTGATTTTACTGATGTAACTGCTGTGCGCTTGAGGTTTGTGGGGCACTTGGTTAATGTTGAACTTGATTGTCTTTTTGGACTTTGGCTTGAGTTTTTATTATAGTTAAGCAATACTTTTTTGTAAAAAAAATAATTACAAAATATTGAATCTCCTGTGTGCCAGGGACAAGGCTGGGGGCTATGGTATTCAAGCTCTTGGTGGCATGCTGGTGGAGTATGTTCATGGAGACTTCCTAAATGTTGTTGGGTTTCCTCTCAACCACTTCTGCAAGCAGTTGGGCCTTATTTACAATGGCCTTCCTTCCTCTGATCGAAATAGTGCCAATCTAGGTTCTTACAACCAAGACACCAACACAGTTATACCTCAAGATTTATCTAGTAGCCCATCTGCCAGCCCTTTTGCAAGCAAGGTAAGTTATTGAATGTTATTTCCTCTGTATAATCTAAATATGGATTATTGTTCTATTGCTGTTTAATCTCTATTGTATCTATTAAATTACATTTCCTCTAGGTTAAAAGAAATGGTGGTCAGATGGATGTAAGTGAAAGTTCGAATCAAGTAACTAACAGCCTATCCAAACATAGTGGTGACAGCCAGGAGCGCCTGTCATTACAAAACATCGCCAGCAGAGGGCGAAGTGTATCTGTTGGAGAAAACACTGTACCTAATAAGGGAGATTTGCAGAGGATTATTACACTAATGGATGGATTCAAGGCCTCAAAGGTATTTGCACTCACATTGAATATGTATGTGTCAAATAATATTTATATATAATTTTATTTGAGTTCTCAATGTAATAAAAAACAATACATTGCTCACTTATGTTTTCATATTTTAGGCATTATTTACAGCTTCAAAAATGGGGGTGTTTGACCTGCTGCAAAAGAGTCCCGGTCTAGATGCTGTGCAGGTAGCAGCTGAAATCAAAGCTTCACTCAAAGGAACACGGAGTTTGCTGGAGGCCTGTGTGTCTCTGGGACTGTTAACCAGTGAGAAATGTCAGTAAGTTTGCAGTGATTTTTAAGAGTAGGTGATTAATATTAAAGTAGTAATGACAATGAATTTGTCTTGTTTTGCAGCTCATCAGAAACCATTGTACAAGAACAGCACTCTGGCAGCGCAGTTTCTAGGCTCAGATTCTCCTTTCTCTTTGCACAGTTATATTTTGCACACAGATAATATGGTGTGGCCTCTTTTCTCTCATCTTGAAAATGCTGTACGTGAGGGAACAAATCAGCATGAACAGGCATTTAGCAAAGAAGCACAAGATCTGTTTCAGGTGTTCATTTTAACCATAGACAATTTTTAAAGTTGTCATAAAGATTTAAATTACAAGCCAGTGAAAAACTTTACCATGTTTTTCTACCATGTCTTTAGGATACTTACTACGACAGCCAAGCTTTAAAACTGAGGTTTATGAATGCCATGCACAGCATTGCTAAAGTTACGGGGAAAGCTGTAGCCACAGCGTTTGATCTGTCCACATATAAATTGGCCTGTGACCTCGGAGGTAATGCAAACAGAGAATGCTGAAAGCAGAATGTTTTGAAGAGCAGAATATATATTTGTATTAGTGTGTTTCAGGTTGCACTGGAGCTATTGCTCATGAATTAACAAAAGCAAATCCTCAGATGTCTGTCATAGTGTTTGACTTACCTGCAGTTGTTGAAATTAGAGAAAGATTTCAGCCTCAGCACATGGACACAGACAACAGGGTGTCTTTCATAGCAGGTAAGGTATTTATCCCAATGTACCAACATACTTTTAGACTTTATATTTGTTAACAATAAAATGTATTTTTAGGAGACTTCTTTAAAGATGACTTGCCAGAAGCAGACCTATATATCCTGGCAAGAATCCTTCATGACTGGTCTGATGAGAAAGTGCATTTCCTGCTGAAGAAAATTGCAGAGAGGTGTACGCCAGGTAAACTACTAAACTTATTTTTAAACTTGTTTAAAAAAAACATGGCTAATGCAGTGATCAACTAGTGTTTCATACCATTTTGCTATTGTCACATAAACAATTAAGACTAGAAGCTCAAACAAGTGTGTGCATTAATACACTTACACGCTGCTGTTAGGCTGTGGAGTCCTGCTCAGTGAGATCTTCTTGAATGAGGACAGGACCGGTCCGAGTCGAGGGCTGCTCCAGGCCCTCAGCATGAGTCCAGGGAGGCAGAGGAGTGCACAGGAGTACAGCTCTCTGTTGGAAAGACATGGGTTTACTGTTAAAGACATCAAATATACAGACAACCTTCTGGACGCTATGCTCTGTGTCAAAGTCTGACAAATGTGTCAGAGCCTCTATACTTTTTACAGTTCTACTGTCAGACTTTCTGTAATTTTATTTCCACAATGTGTTGGACTGTAGGCTGTGCGTTGCTCATAGCTGAGACCATGTTGGATGGGCCCACCCCTCATTCTGCACTCCAGTCTCTCAACATGCTGGTCCAGACAGAGGGGACAGAGCGGACACAGAGACAGTTCACAAAACTATTGAAGAAACATGGATTTAGACATACACGAGTGGTTCACACTATGAATTTTCTCGATGCCCTTTTAACTATTAAAAAATAAAAATGAAATATTTGTGCTCCATTGAAAAAGCTTTTGATTGTGCTACATGGTGTTACTGTAGTTCTTTTCCTGTTATTTTACCTGAAACAAATAAGGTAATAGACCAAACTAATGTAGTAGTAGCAGCCAGTTGCACATTACAATTATTAACAGAAGCCCACTCTTTTCTTGACACAAAAGGCAACAACTCTTTTATTTCATCAATTTTATTTTGATGTAGCCTTAATGTTTTAAATCTCATAGTACATTCCTGCCTTTCTCTATAAAATATGCTCTAATGAATGTAATATCTTTCCACAGTTTTGTATTTCATGAGCCCTCAGTTCCAGCAGCCAAGTATCTGTCTAAAATGTGCCAATGTCTCCAGTCAGAACAACAGATCCTATTGTCTGTGACGCTCAAAGTGTATCTAGATTACTCCTTGTTTTGGACCGCTCTCCCAGTATTTTCCTTGAAGGGTAATGGGGGTGGTCATGTTATTTATGATGATTTTCTTGTCAGTCCAGATCCAAGCTCTTGGTGATATCTGATACATTACTCACTTTATGCTTGTTTGATCAATAAAGACAGAATGGGGTATAGCAAAGGTCAACCACTGTTTGATTTATCTTGAATTCACTTGTTAACTGTCAAATATGTCGCCTTTTACTGCAATGAGTATACTATGGCAGAGGGGTTTAATTTTTGATAAACAATTATAAAAAATCCAAGTAAACTTATGAGACTTGGGAGGTATGGTTGTTAAAGGTGCACTTTGTAACTTTTTGGTTGGGGGTCCATCACCTTGTTTCTATGGATATGTCATTACTCTGCTTGGAATCTTCCACAGTATGACATTAAAGAGCTCTACATTATTGCAATAAATTACAGGTGGTTTTACTGCTCAAAAATAACTGGCAATGTGACTGTGAGCAGAGTTGCCTCTACAGATCTGACCTAACTTGGTCTTGGATTTAGTCTCCATGAAGATAGAAAGGTTTAATGCCATACTGTGAAACATTCCAGACAACAATAACATCATGAAGAAAATCATTTGACTGATCCTCCACCAGAAAAGTTGCACAATGTACCTTTATAGGTTGCCTGTGTATAGCCCTAAAAAGCAATAGGTAGGTGAAAAACTGAAAAAAAAAATGACTTTAATAATTCACAGCGTAGACTTAATAAATACAAGCAAACAATCAAGCTTTCAGATTGAACCAAGTTTGTAATTTTGTAAACATGATGAAGCACTTAGCCCATATCATTTGCATATCCGTTCACTTCTCATGTACCAGCTGCACTCACTCACCCTCAAATCCTGAATAATGCCCCAACTTTTGTGTACAAGCATCAAGTCTAGTCAATCTTTCTAATGAAAACCATTCAAGTCAATCAAGTTTAGCAGAGACCAAAGGCCAACGTAATTTTGGAAAATTACTCAAACTCCAAAGTAATCTTGTGTAATGTGATCTTGCCTATTGAACACTGGCTGCACTGTACGTGTCGGATAAAGGCTCAGTCATTTTGTTCAGATGCAGACTTGACAAGAGGCACGGATCTGCACCTGCAAATAATCATCATTCTAGTGTCAAGTGCTTTGATATTACAATGACTAATTTAAGACCATTTGGTGCTAGTAGATAGAGATTGAGAAACACTTCCAGATGCTGATTGTGGCCAGATAAGTATACAGTATGTTGTGTTTACTGTTTCAAAAAAGTCTGGGAAAATATCATTTGGTTCCTCGTTTTGATTTAAGAAACACAGAATGAATTGCTTCAGTCCGTCTGCTTCCTCTTGTGCAGTATTTGCGTAATCAGTTGTGTCTTTACACCAGATGCCCTTCCTGTTGCAACTCATTTCATTCATGCAGGCTTGGAACTAACACAAGAGCACTGACTAAACTCTAAACTAACAAATAAAGTGATCAAGCGTGAGACTGTGAAATCTGTGATTATGATTCAATGTAATTATTCAAAGTAACCACACGAGGGCACTACAAGCTAAAGCAAAATCTCCATCTAAGCTGACCTAACTAGTTCTCACTGTGTTATAACCGTGTCAACAATTATAGGCCTACTTCTTAAAAATGAACTGAACGACTTTGTGAAGGTTACGCAGTGTCCACTTGGTTTGCGCACAGAATAGCCAATAGCCTGTAAACAGTCAGTGTTTAGTTGAGTTTTCCAAAGTGAAGTCGTAGGCACCTGTTTCAAAGCCTCGTATTGTTTATCAAAGTCCTCTTCTGTCAACAAACAGAATAAATGGAGTGATGGCTGACTGCTCAACACATCTGATTTCAGCAAAAGCGCAATTGTTCAAAGTGAAGCTCGCTTCATTGATTTGTTTCAAGGCAGAGAAAAAATAACCTCGGGGCTTCTACTGGATAGACATAACAATGGAGTCCTCTGCTTTTTGTAGTTTTTAGGCTTGACATCAGCGGAGGACGGATTTGTACTAACTACTGCAAGGGCTTTGGGTGAACCCAGTTGGCTGGATATGTAGCCATGTAGCCTTGATTCATTTTGCAGTGACACAATATTATGATAACAGGCTAGGCTACTGAGTAGGCTATTACCAATGTGTTTTAAATATATTTGAAGATACTGGCATACCACTTAGGCTTTTTTTACTGAGTACAAACGCATGCCTATTAATATGACTACTATTCAGCCTATTATAGTTTGGTCTTCTAGTTCTACTTATAGGCCTATTTCAATTCACTAGAACTAGGCTACTTGCTACTATTTCTTTATACTGTGAATCTAAAACTGTAAGTCTTTACTGCTTGTGTATGTATTATCACTACCCTCTGCTCTTATCATTCTTTGACCTATTATATGTAACAGTTGTGGTTTAACACCCCTGCTGTTACTGCAAGTGCTTCTGATTTATCTAGGTGAACTGTTTAAATGTTCTTTCTTTCTTCATTTCACTTTATTTTATTTATTTAACCTTTACTTAACCAGGTAAAATGTTTGAGAACTAATTCTTATTTAGGGTCTTTATAATACATAGTACATCCTTAATAATATGTTTGAATATCAATATCATTCATAGAAGAAAATATAATGCTTATCTATATACTAGATATTGTATTTATAATTATTTACTAAAAATAAAAAGCAGTATAATATAGGAGGAGAGACAGCATGACATACTAGAGTTGTGTCTCCAGAATCAAAACACACAGAGAATCATATTGATCAGATTTTCTAAAACTGTGGCCTGTTTGCATCTCCCTCGGTCATGGTGGTAAGGTTCAGTGGTTTGTTGCGATGTATCAGTGCGCAGAGTGTGAAGTACCATACACGCACGAACACACACACACACACACACATGTACAGTACAGTAGGGGAGGAGACAGGGACCTGAAATGGCTGGTGACAGGGCTTTCATCCGACCCACCCAGGGCCTTTGTTGTTATTTTGGGATGTCCCTTGGGTGCAGTCTGAGAGAGCAGCAGACAGACTGGAGCTCATCTGTGCTGCAACACACACCAAATACATACTAACGCACACCTTTATATAGAGGAAAATAATCATAATAGTGGCATGTTGCTGTCATGTCAATCAAACTGTCTGGAGGCTAGACCATTAGAGGAGCACTACAGGAAATACACGTTTTGATGTTGAATATTTGTAAGCTGCATAATTTTGGTGTTACTGGGTTTATGTGATATCTCGAGAAAGTGTGGGTATTGCACTTTCTAACAATTACATGTATTTATGAGATTTGCATAGTTTATTTGGGTTGAGAAAAATGAATAATATGTAATTCATTCAGTGTAATTCATTCAAACTTAAATTTATGTATTATAACTTTTCAAAATTGTCTCCATTATTATTAAACTCCTACAGATTTTTTCTTCAGATATAGCCCCTTCAACAGCAACAGAATTAAATACATTTAATTCTTGGGCAAGAAAACAAATTATTAGCCTCACATTTCTGTTAATATTGCATATGATATTTATTTTATGTTTTTTGCACAGTGTTATGTTTATTATTGCCTATACACACCACTCAGTAGTAGCGAGTTAATGTATGTGTTTGTAAGATTGCATTTCTATCATGCTATATAAACCAACTACAAAAAGACAGCTGCTCCTACGTGCTTTAACATGCTACTTTTACACCACATGAATCAAAACAAAAAGTCTTTGGCACACAGCTTAAGTCTATTTGATTTCCCATTCAAACAGATCACCACCTCTGACAATGTAAGATTTCAAAACAAATATTTAGCCTGCCGGTGTCTGGTGCCGGTGAGGTATTTATGAGGTTGACAAAGTTGCTCCTATCTGTCATGCAGTCTGTTCTATCACACACTGACTCTGACCTGAGACACCAATCACAGATCTACACTTTAAAACACGACCCTTGCTCTTAACCCAGCTCATCCCACCTAACAATAACAATCAATGCACATCTGACAAGAAGCTGCACAACAACTTATAAATGATATGCATCTCCTGCTGGTCCCATGGCAACCAGTTCCACTTTACTGTTGCCTTTCTTTGATCCTCGCCGAGCTTTGATTCATTTTCTCTTTCGCCCTTTTAGCTAAACATATCATGTGAATTTGGAGCTTTGTTCCTGACAGGCCGCGTCTTACCTCGCTCTCTCCACAGGCTCCTGACGCCTCCCAAAGGAGCTGCAGTGGAGATGGAGGAGGAGAGGAGGAATTCCACTGTATTCAACTGTGGGTTATACTACATGTTATATGGAGGCTGATGACCCAGGCCTTGTGTGTGGTGCGGCCAAACCAGCGTCCTGCCCTGGGGAGCTGCGGCTGTATTAGGGCAGGGATACTTGGTCTTTTTAATTGAGGCCTGGGCCATAGATGCTGGCTCTGTGAACGGTCAGCCTGTTGACTCCACACAAGAGCTGCTTCACTGTGGTTCGAGCTTTCCCTCCAGGGGCAGAGCTAGGGTCAGGCTTTGGTCTAAATAGAAATTTGTCTGCTAAGCTTTATCATTTAGTTTATTCATCCTTGCCACTCTGAATATGTCAATAATAAAATACAATGAATATATATTTGGTTGAAATATATATTTACAACTGTAAGATTTAAGGAGTTGCCTACTACAATAAAATATACGACTTACTAAAGTGAGACTTAAACTTAGACATAGACAAACTTTATTGATCCACACGAGGTAAATTACTTGGGCAAACTACTTCACAAATTATACAATAAGAACAGCTCTTAATGAAAAACAGCAAATAATAGTAATATAACTATAATTAATTATAGTAGCAAGGTCAATAAAAGTGGACACAAATATTCAGATTGGTATTGGTAGTCTACAAGTAAAATAAAATATAAGTAATTATTATGGAACAGAGTAGGAATCAAGCCAAATAGGCAACCACAAAAATGCATGAACCACAGTGAAGCCTGTCTTTTTTTATGTAAGACAAGATGGTATTTAAAATTGTAAAACCAAATGAGGCTATAATGAAAAATGAAAAGTGTTTATTTTCTACAGAGCATCTGGACTCAATCAGAGCGATATCCTAAACATGAGCTGCCCCTCCCAGATGCACATGCCCAGACCACTCATTATTCCACTCAGATCTAGAACTGCAACCAGGCTGGACAGGG